CTGCTCTTCAGCCGGCCAGGCTATAAAAAAAATCAGTTTTTGGATTAAACATTAGATAAAACATAGTATTTCATTAAATTATATCCCAACTATCACAATCTAGGTGAGCTTTTGACTATTCTAGTAGATTTAGGCCGCAGATAAATATATCTAAGCTTTTATTCTTGTATGTAATTTTGTTTTATTTGTATTCGTATGAACAGTAGTATCTTTATATAGTTTAATTCTATATAGTTACTATTTTAAAAATTACTTAATAAAGATACGAGCAAGGCTTCATTCACTTTAATATCAAAAAAAAAAAAAATATATATATATATATGAATATGTGTATAGTAATTAGAATTAAAGTCATATCTGGTTTTACCTTGTGCTTTGCATATTATTTTGTATTTTATATTTTATAACTAATTATTGCAAAAACTAACTCGATAGATTTTTTTATACTGTCAGTTTTTAACAACCACAACAGGAATTTTAAATTTATTCGATTCTTATATAGCCCAATTCGAAAAAACTTTAGAGCAAATTATCATTATTATTATTATTATTATTAAATTTGAATAATAATCTAGTACATTTTAAATTAAATGTTCAAAATATTGACCATTAACCTCAGCACAATACTTAAGACGAATAATAAACATATGCCTAACATTTGATAATTGTTTAAATGTAATATTTTCATATTCATTAACTATTCGTTGTTTTAGATCTTCAATATTATTAGGAGACATTTTAAAAACTTCAGTTTTACGATGTCCCTACAAAAAAAATCAAGTGAAGCAAGATCTGGTGAATGAGGAGGCCACTTATAAGATCCACCATGACCTATCTACTGATTAGGAAATTTTTCATCAAGATAATTATAAACATCTATCCTAAAATGTGTAGGCGCACCATTTTGTTAAAAAATAATTTTAACTTCAGAAAACAAATTATCTAATTCTGGGATAATATTATTTTGTAGTAATTCTAAATATTTCGAACTATTTAAATTTTCTTCAAAAAAAAATAGTCTAATAATAAAATTATCTACTATTCCTGCCCAAACATTAATTTTTACTAGATATTGCATATTATTAGTTCTTATTATATGATTATTTTCTTTACTCCAATAATGATAATTATGTTTATTTACTTCACTGTTTAAATAAAAAACTGCTTCATCAGTAAAACAAATACGGGAAATAAAAGTTTCATTATTTGTAATAAGTAGTATTAATATGTTACAAAATTCAAGTCGTGAATTAGGATCAATGTTATTAAGCTCTTGATGAATTTGAAATTTATAAGAATGAAATTTATGAATTTTTAATATCTTCCTAATACTAAAAGAAGAAATATTAATTTTTTTTGTGAGTTTAGAGATTGATTGCTGTGGATTTTCTTAAAGAGTAGTAATAGTAGCCTCTTGTTTAGTTCTGTTAGTCGCACTTATTGGATGACTAGAATGATAATAATCTGCAACACTATCCGTTTTGATAAATTTATTTACAAGATTATAAATAGTAGATGGATTGGGTTTAGATTTATTAGGATATTTCATGTGAAAAATATTAGCAGTTTTTCGTAAAGAATTTTCTTTAAAGTAAGTTGTTACAAGTTCTGTATGTTAAGCAATCGTATAAAAAATGGTCATATAAAGTTAATAAAAAAAAATTATATTTTACGAATTTAATTTATTACAACGATTACTAAGCATTAAAGTGATAATCAGTGTGATTAAAAAATGGGGACCTGTTTAGGGACTTTTAACCAACCCGATATAATTTTTGATAAAATAAATATATATTTTAAATTTTTTTAAATATGTAATATTATATTTAAATTTAAAATTTGATTAACCATATATATAAAAGTAATATATAAGATACATTGTATAGTATAATAAATAAATTTATTTTTATAAAAAAATACTTTAAATAAATAAACAAATTACTCAAGCTAGTATACTGTATTAGCCTATTAAATAAATGCTTATTTATAACAAATATTTTAAAATTTACCAAACCAATTTTAATAATTTAACCACTATTAGAATTTAAAATCCCAACAAACTCTTAATAAAAACTTTTTTAATTTTAAAAAAATTAACTTTTTAAACAATTTGATTTTTATATTAATTTA